CAGGTGTGGCTATGACTGGAGAGGTGTCGCTCACCGGGAAGGTACTCCCAGTAGGAGGTATCAAGGAGAAGACGATAGCGGTAAGTGGCTTTGTGCTTCCTTGGTAACTAGATTTTACAGATATGTGCTTTGGTGCATGCAGATAGTATGTTCGCTTCTAGCATTGTCTCTATGATGTAAAATATGCTGCTGTAATGACAGACAAAAGAGTAAATTTTCTCTGTACTTAATGTTCATGTGTTTGTTACGCTCATTACAGCTTGTGCTGCCAGCAGCTGTGTGGCATTTACCAGTGTACACTAAGCAATCTGTGCAGCATAGGCATTGCTTGACGATAGTTATAGCGCGAGAACAAAACGATGACACAGAGACAAGAAGGACACGAGCGCTCGCGTCTTTCTTGTCTTTGTGTCGTCGTTTTGTTCTCACATTATAACTATCGTCATGCCATACCAACTAGCCCAAGCTGCCACACTTCTATAGGCATTGCTGCCATGGCTATGACGTCACTGTGTCTGTAGTTAGTGTGCAAGAAAAAATGAGCTAAGCACCATCACACACATCTATGGTTTTACCCAGCTACAATAATACCTTCATAATTTCAAAACTAGTGTAGTTGTTGGAAAGCAAAATATGCGAGTATGGCTTAACTCTTTCGTTACCACGCCTATCCAAATCGATCACTGCTGATCGACGCATTTGAATCATAGATTTTGGCATGTTAAATTCATTTGTCGTGAACCCACCACTTTTTGTTAATTAGTCCAGCCACTCAAATTTCAGAACCAATTTGAATTTGCCCGTTTCGGCAACATAGTGATTCTTGACAGACCTTTACACGAACCAATGTGCGTGTAGAGTTGGAAAAGTGCACAACCGGTGGTTGGCGAAATTCACAGAAGTGCGTGCCCCCTGTGATTATGGTACAGTAACATTGAAGCTCTGTATTGAAAAGAACCTTTGCAAGCCAAATATCGAATTAAAGTGTCAGCTTCGCAATTTGACTATGTTAAGCAGTAATGATAGCCAAAAATTTTTACCACATATTCAATGCAAAACTATTTCTAGGAGTCGGGAAAAATTATTTGCGAAGGTCCGCCACGTGTTTACAGTGTTGAGGTGGCCTTCTATGACAGTTTCCAGCAGCTTTGTTTTTGCTTGCATCGTTATATCAGACACAGGGTCGCATCTAGTGTCACTAGTCACTCCTATGATGTCTGCATCACGCAAAAGACATGCGCTGCTCGAAACTGTTTTGCAACCCCACCTGAATTGAGTGACGACAAGCTTAGCGTTCAAGGATGACAGCACCTCAACTTCATGTTTTACGGTGGCGATGTTTTGTGTCAGCCTGATACAACTACCGCCGTTCCTTGGTTTGTTTTGTTTACATCCTCAAGTTGTTTCCTTTGTCGCAAGTGTGTATAACGTCTGACAATGGGCACAATCTTATAGCTACTCTGGTTACGTGTGTGGCCTACACTTCGTTCGGGTGCAGTGTGCTGGCGCTGGCTGCAGAGCTTCTCCTAACAACAAGAAGGCCCCCGGAGCCCATCTTGGCCCTGACTACGGAGCAGTGCGAAACTTTTTAGAACTGAGCGCGATATTGTCCTTTTTTTAATACGATATGCATGAAAATGCAAAAGAATATGCTTGGATGCATATATTGGAACGCCGACCTATGCGGTGTACGGTGGCTCATGGAAAGAGGTGACGCTAGATCAAATAGGGAAGTTCATTGGACATCTCATTTATAGAGGGATTATTCACATCACCGGTATCCATCTACCTCTATTGGAACACCAGGAGATTCTTATCCAAGAAACATTTACTGAGAAAAAGTGTACAAGTACACTTTTGTCTTACAAAAAAACATGCAATGCTTCGCCGCATGGCACTATCAACAAAGCAGCGCTTCAGGTCTGATTTTCTTTCTCTATGTGAAGAGAAAAATAATTCTTTTTTATACTATTCCTGGGTCATTTATCTACAAAATGTATATTCTGAATTTTCTTTGTTTTGAATATTTTTGCATAGTGTTTTTTATTGCACTGTTTACCAGCTTGTGACCAAAAATTTTATTCTTTTCACTTTTTTATTCATTCTAAAATATTTTTGTTGCTCTATAACATACATTTTTTAGAAAGAGCATGTTGTGCAAAGTTTGGAACGCTGCAATGCGTGCTGGAGTACTTTTCCAACTGGCAAAAACGATCTTCCCGAGACATATGAAAAACAACCAGTTTCGCGTGGTAACGAAAGAGTTAAGTAAATCCTCATTTGTGGTCTGCAGCCAATGATCATGTATCATGAACATTTATTATGGCCACACTTGAATTTTGTGTATCATGGCACACTTAAGCAAACATTGCAATAGAAAGTTTTGTTGGGCAGAGGTACCATTGAGAGTGAAACAAGGACTAATATAAACATACATTGCCAATTATTTCACTTGCTATTCTGCATCTATCTTTTCTTCTCTTCATTTGGCCAGGCAGATGCACCAATTCAGTTCAACCATGATATGACTCGTGCCACTAGCTGAATGCTTATGTAAAATATTTCAATATAGTATTTCTACTTGATAGATTTGCCAATAATTTTGCTATAAGGTTTTTTCTTGTTACTATTGTTCTCACCATGCTGTTAAACTTGCATTTCAGCTGCGTTTTTCTTTTTATTTCACATGTCATAGATTTTTATCTGTCTAAATGTACCTCATGTAGGGTTTGTGAGGTTGAAGACATAGTGAGAAATTACTTTCATTATTAGGAACGGAATAGACATATTTCATTGAATATTTGGTAAAGAGAGGGAAAGAAAAATTATGCTGCACTGTGATTTCTTGTAGTCAAGAATCATGGTAAAGTTGGATTTTATTTTCACATTGCCTGACAGCTTGTATCATTAGTGTTTTTATGCTGAAAACTTGCTAAAACTCTGTGCAGGTGGCTTGCGACGCTGCACCTGTGCAGCTTAGCCCTCGTTGTTCTTACCACAAAGTGATGAAGGAAAGGTGTCCTTTACCTTGACTTCAGAAAAAATTTACTGGCTAAGTTAGCTTGAAATGTTACCATGACTAGACCATTGGCAAGCCGAATAGGATGCAAGGATGAAACATAGATAAAGATGCTGCTATAAGACTAAACACACCTACTTGTGTTTAACACTTTTACAGCATTTGCTATGGTATATTTAATTTATTTCTTGCCATTAAAAGCGAGGTCTTATGTTTCATTAAAAGTTTTGTTAAAGCGATTCAGCCCAACAAACTTCAAAAACATTCAACGTCCCAAAAAGTAGAAATATTGGAAAATGTACTATTATCAATAAAATTGCATTGACGCCATCAGTTTTTGTGTTAGGGCAGCAAAGTTTTTGTTATTTTTTTCTTAATTGGTGGCCAGCATTTTTTCGGATTTTATGCAGCTGCAGCGCCAATGTCAAAAAGCTGACTTGAAGAAAAGAAAAAAAAAAAAAACCCAGAAAACAGCATTAACTCTTGCTTCCTTTTGTTGTTTGTAAAGGCCAAAAGAGTTGGTGTGACGTGCCTCATCCTTCCAGAGGAGAACAAGAAAGACTACGCTGAACTGCAGAGTTACATCACAGAAGGCCTGGAAGTCCACTTCGTTGACCACTATTCGAAAGTGTTCGATTTCATATTGAAAGACTGAGAATGTTATTAGATTTGTATATGGTAGTTTGTTGAAGTCATCTTTTCATAAGCACGGCATGAAAATAGCGCATTACGTACGAGTTTGCCTTATGCATAATTCGCTCATAGATTGACAAGCTGTTCAGGGCCTGTTACCAAATAAATGGACTTGCTTCGTTTTAGGCCTCTTGCCATTTGCTCTTTATGATGTTGCCCTCTACATGCAGACACTCAAACACATTCTTCAAAGTGATGATGTTTGTTTATTAGCAGGCTCAGTTGGGACACTTCAGCAGAAAATCAACAAGCATGGAGATACATTGAATTGCACAGCTGTAATTTACTTTGTTTTATTTTGCTTACAATGTTACGCATTTCAGCAAGATGGTAAACATGCGTAGTGTAGTTCACAGAACTGTGGTTCTCGATAAAGATGCGATCAAGCATTTGCAGCTTCTTAAGTGTGCTTGGCAGAAACCATTGGCACAGTTGAAGGGATTAGAACATACACAATGACAAGAAGAGAACTGCAGTGGTTGTTTACGAAGACGCTGTACACTATTGCAACAACACTGACGTGCGCAAAGCTTATGTAGTACTGTTCATTGGGGTGCGACTATTGCTGTGTGCGATTTTTACTTATATATACATTATCTGATTAGCATACTGATTCCTTCTAGGTAGATCATTTCTGAGAAATTACCGAGTGTGCTTCCAAGCAATGCCTTCAATGCAGCAGTTTTTCAAAGCACTGCTGGTTTCGGCTCATCATGTGCAGGGTATCGAAACATCAAAGAAATAAAAACATATTCTTTGTGAGCAGAATTTTTTTATTTGTCACTGCTGTGTTCCTGGATTGTAAGAAGTTAATGTCACTTCAGATATTTCATGTGGATGTGGGTGCAAAAAAATAACACAAAAGTCTTGAACTTTTTCTTTTGCACAAAAAAAAAAGGGAGTTTATTAGTTTTCTTCTTATGCACTTATTTTCAAACATTAGTCAGCCTTGAAAGCATTATGTTTAAGCACATCAAGGCATGTGGCATTGTAGTTCTATACAGTATTCCTGTTAGGCAGTAAGTCTCTCTTATGTTTTTGTTTCTTTCTCACTTTTTTTATTGTCTTAAGAAGCATCTGCTATGGCACAAATTTTTCAGCTGTGGCACAAATTAGTACTCTGCAGCATTCTTTAAGTTAGGGCCCTACTTACATATTTGAAAATTATGCAGGTAGAAAAAGTTAATGGCTTACCCAGTGCAGTGTAATTTTGCCTATGCAACACTGAGCACCTTGTTTTAGAAGCTTTTAAGTGGCTAGTACATAGGCACAATATGTTAGTTACCACATCCAAGTATACTCAAGGTGAAGTTTACGCTGTACCAAAATCTTTTTGCAGAAGTGGATTTCGTTTATCGCTATACACAAGTCAACAGGCTTAGCAAGAAAAACGCAGGTTATTTATATATCAGCATAGTGCAGACACTCAAGCACCTGTTTTTTTTATTGCAAAAGGTGCAAGCTTTATAGCACAGCGCTTATAGAATTTCTGTCCCGCGAGCAGCAGCCTTGTCTAACGAAAGCATGTTCACCGACTGTGCAGTAACCTTGGCTTTGGTTTTGAAATAAGGTTGACATCTATTTTTCGTAAGCTGCCCTACTTTCACTGCAAGCACCCTGTTGGCACAGTCAGAGCACAGCAGACTTTCTACAAAATGTTAGAAGTCATGCTATAAGTGACAGGCCCCGAACTAAATGTGGTTGTCATCCTTTGGGTCTAAGCCCAAGGATTCGCTGTCGCACTTCATGTCCGACTTGGCACATCGGCACTTGGAAACACTGGCAGTGCCGCAGAAGTGTGGTGCCTCACTGTGGTGCATCTTTGGCTATGTCCATCTCCAATTCCATTGATGCTACGCTCACAGCGAAGGCCCACGAGCTGGGAGAGCAGAAGCAAAAAGATGATGACGACCGATGGGGATGCGAAGCCATAATATGTATACGTATGTGACGCTGATTAATTCAGGCACTATGCTCTCCACTGTTTTCCGACTCGTTGCTGCACCTTGGTTATTAAAGCATGGCACTTCACTAGAGTGTCCCAGGCAGTCCGCATTGGAAGCATGTTTTGCTGTACAGAGCCTCAATGGGAACCACAGGATGCTCCTTCTGTTTGTCGAGATGGGTGAGGGTCGACCTGCAAATGTGCAATAGAATATGGAATCAAGACTTTCTTGGAGAGTCTTGCAGCGACTACACTTTGAGCGACTACTACAAAGAATGTGGACTGGGAGACACTGGCTAAAACAGCATGCCACCAATGAATTCCATGGTTTTCATTGAGTGTTTGTAATGCTACACAAAGACATTAAAAAATACCAAATGGTAAAATTTCTGCAAACCTTCTTCTCTATGGCATCTCTCATAATCATATCGTGGTTTTGGGACATAAAACTCCAGATATTGTAAAGTTATGCAAAAAGATCTTGATGGTTGCTACTAGTGCTTAACTGTTTAAATGAAATTATTAAATTTGGAACTTTTTTGTTTCTTTCATTGATAATGTTATTAGCTAAGCACCAATACTATAAGAGGAAAGGAATGAAACATTCTCACAAGGCCTCCTAAGATGACCACATAACGTTTCCTGGACTGCTTTGAGAGCAGTTGTGAGTACTTTCTTGATATGGCTCAAAAAGTGCATTCTGTCATGAGTATGAAAATGCCACCGGTATAGATATGTCAAGACAATATTCTGGCACCTAAATTCAAGCAACGTCAAGTCATTAATAATATGTTGTCCATAACTTTTGTGTTAGAACACTGGAGAAAGCCTGCAGTATTGTTATTGAAATACTGTTAGGCTCCGTATGAGTTTGCATAATTACATGTATTTCGAGCCAAGTCTGACTTCATGATGAGCTGTCATTTTTCAATGAATTCACTCTAGCTTACAAGCCCTCCAACCTTGTTGAAGTTTCACAATATTAATACACAATTTTACTCCAATAATTTCATGTTTCAATGTCGAGGAATTACATTCATTTATAGTGAAGCAGACTATTCAGTTTAAACACTTAGTTCAGTTAGCATGTGACACTTTAAGGTGTATTCACTACCTTTCTTTCAGATGTAAGCTAAAATGTAGACTTCATTCAATAACTGGTTATGTCAAGATCTCATTGTAATTATTGCCAATAACTTTTATTACACATGTGTTTTACAACATGCTGCTCAGGTATGCTCGAATTTAAGCTTGGAAAGAAGGGCACGATGTGCCATTGTTTTTCAACCAGTAGATGAAAGTTATTTATTTGCATGCAACCACAATGAAGATCTCGACTGTTGGTTCTGGTATATTCATGCACATGCACACTAACTATTAGTAATAGATTTCACTCAACAACTACATCTCAAGGTATTGTTGCTCGTTTTTCATCCTAGAAAGCGTAATAGAGCCAGGGCACACTGTGCTTGGCTAACTTGTTTTCTAAATACAGAAATCTGTACCAGAATGAAAAGCTTCAGTGACATTGCCCATTCACCGTTATACTTCTGGCGATAGTTCCAAATCAGGTTTGCAATGTTATGAATGCACCAAAATCAATTACACTTTTTATACTATTTGCCATCTACAAAAGCAGTTTTCCTTGAAGATGAACTTTCTTATAATTACTTTTAGGAATCTAACAGAGTCATTAAGGCATGCACATGCAATTGGTATTTCTCAAAACATGCGTGCAAGAAGGTATTTGTGGGGTTACTTTAAAAAATGGTTGCAGGAAGCAAGCAACAGAGACAGAAGCATTGTGTAGTACCTTTCCCCCTTTTTATTTTTTCAAGTAGTGTACTGCCGTGCACGAAGTGGACACACAATGCGCAACACAGTGGGTAACTAGTTTCCTCGCCTCACCTAAATGGTGTGGGGTATAGGGAAACAGAGTGAGGTAACGGCAATATTAAGAGCAAGCACCACAATCTCAAACTCTTTAAAAAAAATAGAGAAGCATGCATAAAGCAGCCTTATGAGGCATATTAGCAGTGCGCTATCAATGCCTTAAGAAGCTTGTATGTAACTGCCCAGTCGAAACTTTTTGAGTTAAAAATGTCAGTTTAAAGTTCAATCATAGTAATAAATTATAGAAGGAAAGCGTGGCAAAAAAGGAAGTTGTTTACAGCTTCCTTTAACCAAAGTGTGCATTTTTTTATAAAGACTCAAAGGTTTCCAGTGAGGCTTGTGAGCAGGCTTACTGACATGCCATAGTGATTACAGGTGATACTCAAAGCAAGGCCAGGTTAGACATGGATAGAAGACAGCCTATGTCTATCGTAGTTCTCTTTCTGGCGCTTTCTCACCTTGACTCTATTTACTGCGTAAAAATGGAATTCTAATTTCTTGCAGTTAACCCGGGCTTCTGTGAAGACTACATTCTATTCTCTTTATTGACTTCACGGTTTACGCTAAATCTGGGGAAAATGTATCCATCTTCAAACCCGGACGCTGGACGAAAAAAGTACAGTACACGACCCGAACGACACAATGTCGTTTTTGTTCAGCGTCTGTGTTAACAAAGCGCACTTTTGAAGATGAATCAACACGAACTTGCCCACCTTATAGCAACTTCACATATGTATCACAAAACAGAAGTGGAACTAAAAGTATGCCACTACAGTTTGTTGGTGTGTGGTAAATTTTGCTCGGTAAAGCTCACTAACCCAACATTGAGCAATAAAAATTCTATTACTGTGAAGCCACCTGAGGGCTGTTGTAAAGTTGAACCCCTTTATAAGAGGCATGCTCTGGGCAGCAGTCCTTGTCTTTTATAAAAGATGTCTCTTATAAACAGGGTGCCTCGTATTCATTTTTAATATCGACCCATATTTTACTGTAGGCCCACTGGCGTTTCTTATACCCATTTGTCTCTTAGATCAGTGTCTCTTATAAAGGGGTTCGATTGTAATAGCTATGCAGCATTGCAAACTACCACATGACACTACAGTGACAGTTTAATCTAAACAAGTTTTAATAACTTTATAGGATGACATGTTTCATTCTTGTAAATTTGCTAATACCTCAGAGTACGCCGGAGGTGGGTGGTACAAGTAGTCGTGTACATAGGCATACATCGGCGTGAACCGTGTGTCTCCATGCATCTCTCCATCTTCGTCGTCGCCAATGTCTACTGAGCCTTCTATGCATTCGGCATAAGTAGGTGGAGCTGCAACAAACAAAAAGAGCTCACTGTTCATTGTGCACATCAATAACACTGACAGATAGAAGAAAAGAGATGGTAGACTTGGGAAATTTTGTAGAATCGCGACACAACTTTCACTAAACTATTGCAAAAATATGCTTTCAGTTGCCTGTAGTTAGATCACACGCTTTAAAATATTTAGCCTGCGTATCACACTTTCATACTTTTGTTAAAGAATCTTTGGAGCAGTATTTTAAAGGCAGGTAACTCGTACTCGGCCAGACTGCTGGCCGTACTATGACTTCTAGCAGCAACCTGCACACTTGAAATTTTCATGTGCATGTCACGGCCATGTAGCGGTGGTCCCTGTATACTCTAAATATCAAGACTCTTCAACTTATCATCCTCCCAGGAAAGTATAGAATGTGCAAACATGTCATACAGTACTAAGAGAGGGCTGAGCGATTCTCAATTAACCCCCTAATAAACATGCAAACCCATACCAAAGGTTTCCTGCATGTTGCCCCAAAAATACCCCACACTTTCTCAAGATGTGAGCAACATGTGAGATCAGCTTTTTTTTTTTTTCTTCTGAGAAACGAACAACAGGCATATGGTGTTCTCGAGCACTTCTAGTAGTTGCACTAACGACGCTGCTGAGAAAAAAAAAATTGTCATACTAAGTGCTTCGGTAAAGAGTAACATGTTGAATCGTCTGAATTTGAGCACTTCCTTTGTAAAATAAGAAACATAGAAGAAACTTTCTGAACAAGAACTTAATTACTTGTGATTAAAAATTTGCAGCTCTCATTTTATAGCCACAGGTGCCCCAACACCACATAATGATGAATACGAGGAACAGTTTATAATGACACAAGCTCTAAACTTATTAAAGTCATTAACTCACTTCATCGGATACGAAGCACGAAACTTGTTAAGGTTTCCAAACAGTTTCATAATACGTGAATGCAATCAGGTAAGAGAGCAACCCCTGTCAAGAAATACTTGATTGCTTCACTGTCATTATTTTTCAGCCGTGAGCAGTAACGCACTGTACAGTAGACACTTGACAAATGGAAATCTCTTAAACAGAATTGCTGCTTAGATGAACGAACTGCACCTAATATGATTGATCTCGTACCTGCATTTTGCAACCTTGTTGATCTCTCAGTAAATAGAACTTCTGTTACATGGAACATATTTTCTTTGTCCCTTCACTGTTCCGTTTAATGAGTCTACTGTTTAGCAGTAAGCTACCTATTATACCTCAGGTATGAGAATCTTTGGCACAATACGCCAATATTTATGAATTGTGGCATTTTCTTGAGGCAACATGTATTCCTCACGTTCAGCGGGCAGAGCATCATCGGTGTCGGCTTCCGAGTATGGAGGAGCAGCTGGGTAGAAATGAATCTGTGGCTGGCTGGGCAGACCCAGCGTGCGGTAGTGTGGAGGTCGAGACCTCAACGGCACTGTTCCAATCACAATAGGAAGGTCCACAAACAGATTGTAAGCTCCAGGAATCTGCAAGGTGATCTGGAAAACAAATTCATTTTGCTTTGGTAAGTGCCCATGTCTCGCAATACTAGGTTCGGTCGCTCAGACCGTTCATGCATCAATACCAAAAATTTTGATTAGGCATGCCCAGTAGATATTGAAATGAGTGCATTCATTTCTAGATTCATTGTAGCACCTAATTTTTATATACTAGTCTCTATGCATAGCAGTAGCGCACTCAAAAATTTTTGGAGGGGAGGGGTCAGTTATATTTTATGTATGTTTGTGTGTGTTTTATATGTGTGCTTGTATATATACACATTAAAAATTGAAAATTATCACGCAATAGAGTGGAGAGGGGGTCTGAAACCCCACTCCCACTGGCAACGTTTTGCTGCCCGGCAAGGTTTTGGGCAAGTTGATAATTCATAACTTCGATCTAACTGCACAACGAAAAAAGAAAACAGCATGGGCAACAAAAAAGAAGCGCTATTTGGCACTGGGTGTGTTTTCTCTGTTGTTTGTCTTTTCTCGTCATACAGTTGTACTGAAGTTATAATCATGAACTTGCCTAAAATTCTGCTGTCATTACTGTATAGTGTCACGAAACACCCCGGGGCAGCAAAACAAAAATGGCAGTGGTTTAGTTGGTTGAAATATACACGAACTGCTTTCTGAATATTGGCATGTGTATTTGATTACTTCCTTTTTGTTGTGACCGGGTTTCTCTGGCTAAAACTTGTGAGCGTACTATTATTAACTCAGCACAGGCAACGCATGATTGTATTGAAACCTTTTCAGGTATTCGAAAATGTTCTAACATGATTGCATGCATGAATCACACGAATAGCACTAAGCAATAATGGCAATATGAAGCAATATGAATGATGATGGACGCATAAAGGTGAGATGTTTCAATGAAAGTTCAAATTCGCGACGACTGATGACGCTTATCATTATCATAGTACTGCGAGTGTTTAGGTGTTATAATGAAAAGTTCTGTCTTTACGGGTTTGATTTCAGCATTTCATGCCATGTTGAATGCAAGATTGCATAGCTGATTCCAATCACCACAAGTCAGAGCTATAGTGTTGTAGTAACAACAAATTTTTTCAACGGTGACCAACCACAATGAAAGCTGTGGTACCCAAAGGGGTGTTCACAGGAGGGATAAATCAGCGGTGGATTAGCGGGGATTGCGGATCACTTATTGACAAAGGCGTACGTCAAGCATCAGCGAGTACACGCACCCTCCCCGCGCATCTTCGAGGGAGACAGAGACCTTTTGACTGAAAGGACAACCTATCCCCCCCTCCCGCGGTGGGGGATATAGCGGAGTTTTGCGCATGTGTTTGACCACATTGTTGCACTTGCTCCGGCTAATAGCGGGAATGCAGGTGGTTTCGTCGTCCGCCGTAGGTGAAACCACTGGAGATAGTAGATAGATATGTGGGGTTTAACGTCCCTAAACTGCCTGTCGTGCAGACATCTCGCCGGTTCGCTCCGTCGCTCTTTTGCGTTCAGGGGGAAAAGCACCGAGTACAAAGTGTATTATAGATCACAACACGAGTTGTAATGAGGCTGCGAATGGCACACAAGCGAGCATCGCAGCACGTTTGCTCATAATCAGCACAAACGTTTCGCTTTCCCAGCTCGTCTATCTGATGGCAGCGGCGGTGCCGCTCGGGCGCGTCCAAAATCGGCGATCGCCTCCCTCTCGCTGGCGCCCGTTGCGCAAGCGCGAGCCGCCGTAGCGTGTTGCTCATGTTTTCTTCCGCCATATTGGCCAGGATTTTTGAACAGTGGCTGTTGCGACAGACGCTAGTAATTTGAAGCACTATCATGCTATTCTAGTTCAGCAGTAAGTGTACAAGCTTCCCGACTTCTCTCGGTGCGTGAGAATGCTCAGTCAACGGGGTCATAGGTGCGAAACATCGAGTAAGTCAGACGTCATTTGTTACTAAAACTTCGTTGAAGGGATGCGCACTTCCTCATACGGCAGTGTTGTTAGCGCTCAGCTATCGCACAGTACCAATGTTATGGTCTTGTCCTTTTGATGTGCCTTTGGCGTCGTTAGTTGCCTGGTTTCTCAAAGGAAAACAAAGAAGGTATTCCTCGCAAACAGCGCTGGTTCCTGAATACCAATCTCGAAGGTGATGATATGTTGCCTGATATCTCGGCTTTAACGTCCCTATTTCAATAGATGATTATGAGAGACGCCGTAGTGGAGGGCTCCGGAAATTTCGACTACCTGGGGTTCTTAAACATGCACCCAAATCTGAGCACGCGGGACTAAAGCATTTTCGCCCACCGACGAAAATTCAGCCGGGATTCGATCCCGCGACCTGTGGGTCAGCAGCTGAGAACCTTAGCCACTAGACCATCACGGCGGGGCAACCTCGAAGGCGATAGAGCTACTGCTCCGTACACGATGAGAGTTGCGCATATAGGTGCGCCATTATGTTCAACGGCTAAGCCACTCGTCGCGTGCGCAGGAGAAAAATACGGTGCGATGTTCCGGCACGGGCGCAAGACTACGCTGTGAGGCAGTGTATTGCTATAGGTAGCGAAAATGCTTTAAGCTCGTGATTTTAGATTTAGGTGCAAGTTAAAGAACCCCAAGTGGTCAAAATTTTCGGGGTGCTATTCTGGACACTGTCTAATTCCACCACGTTGTTGTCAAATTTTGTAATGGCGGCATTTTAGGCCAATCAGAGTGGTCCTAGCAGCTCACTTGGCCAATCAGCATCAATCAATGGCGGAATCTGACAACATGGCGGAGTTCGACAATGTCCAGAATAGCGCCCCTGGAACTCTCCACTACGGCGCTTCTGATAATGATGTCACAGATTCGGGACGTGGACGAATGGAGCAGACTGCAACTCGAATGGTTAAACTGTTTATTTGGGCTGAACTTGAGGTCACGTAAAAGGAAAGTCACATTACAGCAAGACACTGGCACATCATGATAGCGACGAGCATGCAGAGCGTCTGCCGTCGATCAACTGACAAGCCACGAAGCACGTCGGCATTTAAAGCACGTCAGCGTCGAACATTCTAGCGTTATCCCTAGCGGCCGCGTAGGTTCCAGAATAATCTGTTATGTCGGCGGAGTGGGCGTAATCTTGACAAAACGATCTACTATAATCGTGAACCTTCTAGAACAATGAGGGGGGAGTGATTCTTAAAAGAGAGAAAAGAAGAAAAAAGTGAGCCCGTAACTGTCTCTCAGGGGGAGGACACCTCAACAATAGCTCACGAGGAATGGGGGTAGGGAGGGATTAAAAGGATAGGGAGGAACTAAACGTATAGAGATATAGAGATGCGCAGGGACGGGTAGACCACATAAGGAGAAGATAGGAAAGATGGACACGGCCGCAGGAGTCCGAGGACGGGGCACCACTCAGCGAGAGCTCTTGTTGGCATCAGAAGATGGCGTAGGTGGAGCCAGTCGGCCAGAGCTGCGCTGTCGTCGGAGATCGCGGGGGCACAGCCGGTCGGCACGAAGTCCCGCGAGCGAGTCAGAACAATGAGGCGCAGTTTGCGCTGAGCATTCCAGAAAGGCTTTGTGGCCGAAAACCGAACTGAAACATATTAGTAAATAAATTTGCGACGTTAAACTCTACAGTTAATTAAATTTATGTGAAAATGATAAAAAAAAAGCGTGGCTTTTACACCAAGCATATGATGCACAATGTTTCTGCAATAACAATTTAGTGATTGCCTGGTTTATTTTGACCCTACTAGATGGCGCCACCTATAAAGAAAGTAATGTATACGTACAAAGAGCGGCTTATGGCGGTCACGATGAAACTGAAGTCGGCGCGGGCAGAGAACACGCTGGCGCCCCGCCATCGTGCATGTAAAGTTGGCTACGCCGCGTGAAATTGAGCATTTGACGTCACTTTGCGCCACGTGACAGCGCTCGCCGAATAGTGACGCAAGGAAAAGGTATGCGCAACTCTGCTACGTAAAGGTAGCGTATGCAATAACTCTAGAAGGCGATACTTTCTCTCAATGGAAATGCACAGGGGTGCGGAAATCATGTCGAAATTTTATTAAAGTTCTCATATTATGGTTTAAATACTTGAATATAGCCTATGAAGTTAATTCTTTCCTTTGAAAAGGAAAATGCCGCGCAATCACCGTTTTTCGGTCGTTGCGCTTAGCTTATATTTCGGTGTTAGCATGGCTGTAAAGTATACAGACTTCGCAATTGTAAATTCACCGGCTTTTTTTTTTTCGAATTCCGTTGTATGCTGAAGGCTGTAAAATCCTCGCGAAATCTTTGTGCAGTGGGACAGTATGCACACTAGCGTGCTGCAACCGTGAATCACCACAAAAAAGTTTCTAGCTTTTTTTCTCCGGTTTCTGGCAGTGCTTGCTCTACGGATGATCAATGAATGCAAAGAGCGTTCCCTTTATAACAACGGGGAGGTGACAAGTACGCCAGCGCCACCGAGCTCGAAACACAAACAGAAGAAACATTTTTTTTTCGTCATATTATAGAGCAGCGCCACACGACAACGAGATATGTTATAAATCCGAGGAAAGCGGAACTCTTTCATCAGTGTCTGCAAAGTGGGACTACAGTGTACTAGAAGAGTAGCCCCCTTTTATAGTACACTGTAGCGGGCCTGCAGGGGCGTACCCAATAATAGTCAATAAGTAACCAAGCCCCCCCCCCCGCCGTATAAAGAATTCTGCCTGCGCTCCAGGGGGGCTGCGTGTTATTATGTTTTTGTTTTGTTCACAACAGACATGAGTTCTCCAAAAGTACCTTGTGTGAAAGCATGAGTTGGAGTTACAGAGCTTGCCTAGAAAGAAAACACAAGAGCGATTTTTTTACGACGCCTAAGCATTAATATGTATGTTTGATGGCCGCCCCCAGTTGAGGCGCAGTGTTGCGTCTTTCTGAATAGGTCAAATCTAGAACAAATGGTTCAATGCGTTGATGCGAGTACATGCCTGGATTTGAATATGATAGAGCTCCCACTGCTAATTTCTGCTCTCTTATGGTCAGCAATAAAAACACTGCCAACATCCCTTACACGCGTTAATGAGAACAAACAGTAATGCCAATGAAAGCATACGACGTGTGATTATTATTAAAATTAATGTAAATTCGAAGAAACAAAAGTGGAAGAAAAGATGACTTGCCGCTAGCAGGTGCCAAACCTGTGACCTTCGAATAACACTTACTATGCTTTACCAACTGAGCTACGGCGGCGGCCACCCTCCCGTCCACCGTTTATGGGATATACATGTGAATTTAAGCGCGGTGGCGTCAGGGAGCGCTACCAGTAGCCATGATGGCTACCCTCACTGCCGTCATCGCTTCTTTTTCGTTTTCGCAACCACTGCGAAGCTCGTTTGTCTCCCGAACTCGACCACCGGCCAGGGAGGGGGGAGGGACAGCTACTGCGGTGAAACGTGGCCCAACTTACAGACCTCTTCCAGAATTCTGAACAGCAGTAGGCGCCGTCGACATACTGCGGCGCTTGAAGCAACATCGCGCCGAGTGGGCTCCGTCCAGCCCAAAGCTCGCCGTCGCCCCCTATAATCACGTGATAACTGGCACAGCAGCTGCAAAGCTGCCTTCCGAGCACAGTTGTAACTCTATATGCTATACCTTTGAGCATGTACAGTAACTCCGAGGCAGCTTTACAGCTGCTGCGCCAGTTGTCATGTGATCATAGAGGGTGGCGGCGAGCATTGGGCTGGGCGGAGCCTACTGGGCGCGACGTCACCGCAAGCGCCACAGCATGTCGACGACGGCTGTTGAATGTCTTGACTGAGTTGCGCGAAAAAAAAAAAGAAGTACAAAAAGCAAGGCACACAGACATATATATACGGTTACGAAAACACGTGCGGTGAAATAAAATGATCAGATGAGCAGATATATCAATTTCCGAATCATTTTCTTTCGACGCACGTGTTCTCGTAACCGCATATGGACGTCTGTTTTCTTGAATAAAGTTTCAGTTGTTAGTGTGCGCTGTGTCCAGGTGTCCTCCTTTTCTACTACAATTTTTTTTTTTTGGGGGGGGGGGGGGGGCAACTCAGTTAAGATGAATTACTAACTCGACCAGCAGTCCGTGCTTCTCGTGTTTAGGGTCATTCGTGGAGAAGACATACGCACGTTCATGACAGACATATCCTTTGACTACATGAGAGAAACTGGTTTTGCGGCCCGGTCCTCTTACCCGTACAGTGTACTCCACGTGAATGAGGCAGCAATTGGTGATGGAGGGTGACACTGCAGGAATCTTTAGCAGCTGGGCGTCCCAGTTGGCCGAGCGGCCTGGTTGCAGGGCCACACCGGTGACTGTGGTGAACTTGCAGTGGCGTGAGCGCGACTTTCCGCCGGCCAGGAAAGTCTGCGTCTGGTGCAACGTTGCGTGGGGAACCACCGTGCGGCCCGACAGGTTCTCGAAGTCGGCCGTGATGGCGATAGATTCACCTGCGCAGTGTGCATCGAGTGAGCGACCACGCCCCTACGAAACGAAGCTGCACGGAGTTTGAGTTACACTTCAAGTATACAAATACAGCACACGACTCGAAATTGTAATGTCTGTTACATTGCATGACCTTCTGGTGAAGGTTTCGAAAGATTCCTTGCTTTGGTTTAACTGCGATGCCAATTCAAGGCATTGAAGTCAGTTCAAAAGCACAGGTGCCTTCAAGGTTAGTGAGAACAAACAGACGTTCAAGCCAAGCGGGGACGTTATTTGAGGTAGCTACGATATAAATAGGAAGAAATTAATAGCAACAATTATCGCAATTTAACGTCCCAAAATCACGATATGATAATTACGGACGCCGTAGCAGAAGGCTCATAAAATTTCGGCCACCCGGGGTTCTTTAACGTGCCCCTAAATCTGGCCGCCTTTTCGCTCCCATCGTAAATGCGGCCTTCACACGGCCGGGACTTGATCCCGCGAAAAAATGGGGGTGGACGGAAAAGACAACTTGCCCCCGGCACAGTAGCGAACCTCCAACTTTCCTAGAACGCGTCCGATGCTCTACCGTTGAACTAGAGCAGCGGTTGCCCTCTCGTCCACTTCATCGGGTATGTCTGTGTATTTAAACGTGGGAGTTTTGGCGCCGCTCGTATAGCGATTCGCGAGGTTTCTTTTAGGGCCAGCATGCCGCATCATTGTGTTGGCGAACAGCAACGCGACAGCGTTACAAACACCTGGAAAATCACCGGCGGCATCGTGTGTCTAAATTACGCTACCTCACCTGTCAAGAAAGAATTTGTGACTGCTTACCTGGGCAGTATCCTTTGCGGTCTGTCCTGGCATACAGTGAGATGGGCCCTGAAGTGCAGCACCAGCAGCATAGTGTCTTCTCCACACTGCTTTCCACTGCAGTCTAAAAAAAAAAAAACGTGAGAATTCTCACACACACACACACACACACACATTATATATATATATATATATATATATATATATATATATATATATATATATATATATATACATATACATATATACATATACATATATATATATACATATATATATATACATATATATATACATATATATATATACATATATATACATATACATATACATATACATATACATATACATATACATATATATATATATATATATATATATATATATATATATATATATATATATATATATATATATATACATACATGAAATTTTCTCTCCGACATGCACGCGCACACACGCTTGGAAGAAGGTCGTACCAGATATTCATTGCGGTTGATGTCGATGGGACTGATGACTGTGAAGGCTTTCTTGGTCTTGTGGTTAAAGGACCATGGCTTCTCCACCTCCGCCTTGAGCCAGTAGCGGATGCTGCCGTACTTGCCTTCGAACGAGGTGGTCACACCGCTGCGCAAATACGATGACGCGACATTGCAGCCACTCGAAACTCAATCCTACTGCAGTTTGTGGCGTTCGGAGGGAAGTGACGTCGTATCATGATAGAGGGCTCCGCTTCATCGGTGGCGCATTTATCTGCAGCGATAACTACGTCACAAATTAATTTTGCTACGGAGTCTTGGGTTGCGCGTCTCGGATGTGGTACTGAACGTAGGATTTCGCGCTTACCAAGAGTAACATTGTTACTGCCTGGTTTCGATTTCGAAAGTGTAAGACGTACCCAAAGGTATATTGGGACAATTAAAGAAAACTTATTAGCTATAATCCGCTGCAATTTGTCAAACTATAGTAATGGTCATCTCGTCGAGTAATCTTGAATATGCAACAAAATTGCGCAGTTTTTCACGGGCAGTTTTGAATATCTTTTTCCTTTAACATTCTAACACCAAGGCACTATTCACAAGTAAAACTGCAACAAAGTATTCGCCCTTATTAGTGTAGCTAGGATTTCATTTGCACAAAGATAGTGAACAGGTACTTAAATTAGAAAATGATTAGTACAGAGCATTTTTAGTCATTAGTTTTTTTACTGCTAATATAAAATTGAATATTTTCTCCAGTGTTTAAAATTTTCACCTATGAATTGGTGTTAAAGTTCACACACTTACATTAGCATGCTGAGCAATCAAAGCCAGCGTAGTTTGTATGATACATTAAAAAGCACAATAAAAAAGATTTATAGGGTATACACGCTGTAATATCCAGAATTCAAATCGTTACTGCATGATACAGTTAGTACATCAGTGATCATTTAGTACAAGTGGAGTTAATCACGTCGTAAATTTCTACTCACGTTGATGGGAGAAGGAAAGTGAAGTTGAATTCGTGGTGGCCCTCGTTAAGTACGTCCCTGCCGTCTCCCGACTCTGCCAAAAAAAGAGAAACACACGTATCAATCAATCAATTAATCAATCAATCAATTATTGGGCATTAAAATTGTAGCAACATTTGTGGGTTTACAGATACAGAAGGAGGTGAGAAAGTCAACAGACTGTACAAAGGACTTTTCATAAGGAAGGAGTAACAAAAGTTTGTTTAACGCAGCTAAATATGTACACAAACTAAACACTGTACCAAAGAGGACGGAAACGAAAAAGGACAGGCCACTCGCAAATGATGAAATGCGTTATTATCTGTTTTTATAACGGCATTTTCTACGTTTATATTGTCACGGGGTCGTGAGTGACGTGGCCAAAGGAAACTTCGTGTTGGGATTTAACTGTTTATTTGGGCGAACCTGTGCCCGGTAAAGGGAAAGTCTAATTACAGCAGCAGTCTTGCACAGATAGCAGTCTCGGACTGATAGCGGCGAACGCAGCGTCGGCCTTCGATCAACAACTGACAAGCGGCGAAGCGCGTCGGCATTTATACCCTTGCCGTCGAATGTTCTAGCGTTATCGCTGGCGGTGGCGTAGGTTCCAGAACAATCTGTACCGTTCGCACAGTGGGCGTGATCTTATCGAAATGATCTACTACAGTCCGGAACCTTCTCGAAACCTGCAGGCGTGGTTTGCGCCGAGAATCGTGTGGTGTTTCGGAACGATAACAAAAACTTGGGAAATGGACGTGGCATTGCCCCCCTCTGAAAAAAGGCATCGTCCCGATGCTTTAACTAAAGATGAAGGTACAATAATAATGCAAGAAAGTAAAATGAATAAATTACAATACAACAATAATAAAAAAAACACTGTTTCAGTTTGTTAACGTGCATGAAACGGCTTGAGGCGCGCGACATGGAAGACTTCAGGTCGCGATCGGCGTCGTTGAGAGTTCGTGATGCCGTCGGGGACAACCTCGTAATCAAGTGGGCCGAGACGTCGAACCACCTTGTACGGCCCGAAGTACCGTCGCAGAAGCTTTTCACTTAGTCCACGCCGGCGTATCGGCGTCCACACCCAAACACGTTCACCGGGCTGGTATTCCACGAAGCGTCGTCGAAGGTTGTAACGGTGGCTGTCGGTCGTCTGTTGATTCTCGATACGGAGACGCGCAAGTTGTCGGGCTTCTTCGGCCCGTTGAAGGTACTCGCTCACATCGAGGTTTTCTTCGTCGGTGACGTTGGGTAACATGGCATCGAGCGTCGTTGCCGGGCTCTTTCCGTAGACCAATTTGTATGGAGATATCTGCGTCGTCTCCTGCACCGCCGTGTTGTATGCGAAGGTCACATACGGAAGAATGGCGTCCCACGTCTTGTGTTCGACATCGACGTACATTGACAGCATGTCGGCGATCGTCTTGTTAAGCCGCTCGGTGAGGCCGTTGGTCTGTGGGTGGTACGCTGTCGTCCGGCGGTGGTTTGTTTGGCTGTATGCCAAGACCGCTTGAGTTAAGTCGGCAGTGAATGCCGTTCCTCTGTCGGTGATAAGGACCTCCGGGGCGCCGTGACGTAGGACGATATTTTCGACGAAGAACTTAGCTACCTCGGATGCACTGCCTTTTGGCAGGGCTTTTGTCTCGGCGTAGCGGGTGAGGTAGTCGGTAGCTACCACGATCCACTTGTTTCCGAAAGCCGACGTCGGGAACGGCCCCAGTAGGTCCATACCAATCTGCTGGAAAGGTCGGCAAGGTGGATCAATTGGCTGCAGAAGTCCCGCTGGCCTTGTCGGCGGTGTCTTGCGTCGCTGACAGTCCCGGCATGTCCTCACATAACGAGTGACGTCGGTGGTAAGACGTGGCCAGTAGTACCTTTCTTGTATCCTCGCGAGCGTGCGGGAAACACCGAGGTGCCCTGCCATCGGATCGTCGTGCAGGGCCTGCAGGAGTTCTGGACGCAGAGCTGAAGGCACCACAAGGAGGTACTTAGCTCGAAGCGGTGAAAAGTTTTTCTTTTGTAGAAGACCGTTTCGTAGAAAGAACGACGCAAGTGCGCGCTTGAATACCTTCGGGACTTCGGCGGTCCTGCCTTCGAGGTATTCTATTAGGGCTTTAAGTTCCGGGTCGGCCCGCTGTCGTTCAGCGAAGTCGTCGGTAGTTATCGTTCCCAAGAAGTAGTCGTCATCCGAGTCGTCGGGTAGCGGTTGGTCGACAGGCGCACGAGAGAGACAGTCAGCGTCGGAGTGTTTTTTGCCGGACTTGTAAATGACAGTAATGTCATATTCTTGACGTCTCAGGCTCCATCGTGCGAGGCGACCTGAAGGGTCCTTCAAGGTGGCTAGCCAACACAAGGCGTGGTGATCGCTCACAACTTTGAAGGGCCTGCCGTAGAGGTAGGGGCGAAATTTCGACGTAGCCCAGATGATGGCGAGGCACTCCTTTTCTGTTGTGGAATAATTTGCTTCTGCTTTGGATAGCGATCGGCTGGCGTAACTAATAACCCTTTCAAGTCCGTCAGCCCTCTGCACAAGAACGGCGCCAAGACCTACGCTGCTTGCGTCAGTATGTATTTCTGTCTCGGCGAATTCGTCGAAATGGGCAAGTAACGGAGGCGTCTGGAGGCGATGTTTAAGCTCCTGGAAAGCGTGTTCCTGTGGCGTTTCCCACTTGAACTCCGAGTCGGCCTTGGTAAGGTTAGTGAGAGGATCGGCGATGCGGGCGAAGTTTTTCACGAACCGCCTATAATAGGCGCACAGGCCCAGAAATCGGCGCACGGCCTTCTTGTCAGTGGGCGGCGGGAAGTCGGCGATGGCGGCTGTTTTCCGTGGATCGGGACGAACTCCAGACTTGCTGATAACGTGCCCCAGAAACAAGAGCTCCTCATACGCAAATCTGCACTTTTCTGGCTTCAGTGTGAGTCCGGACGTCTTGATGGCTTGAAGTACAGCTTCAAGGCGCCGAAGATGCTCGTCGAAACTCGAAGAAAACACGACGACGTCGTCCAAGTACACAAGGCAAGTCTGCCACTTCAATCCTGCCAGTACTGTATCCATAACGCGTTGAAAAGTTGCGGGCGCTGAGCAAAGGCCGAAGGGCATCACCTTAAACTCGAAGAGGCCGTCCGGTGTTATAAACGCCGTCTTCTCTCGGTCTCTTTCGTCGACTTCGATTTGCCAATAGCCAGTCTTGAGGTCCATTGACGAGAAGTACTTGGCGTTAAGGAGCCGATCAAGTGCGTCGTCTATTCGTGGGAGAGGATAGACGTCCTTTCTTGTGATTTTGTTCAGGCGGCGATAATCGACGCAGAAACGTAGGGTCCCATCCTTTTTCTTCACTAACACCACGGGGGATGCCCACGGACTCTTGGACGGCTGGATAATGTCATCTCGCAGCATTTCATCAACTTGTCTCTTCATTGCCTCACGTTCTCGCGTCGAAACCCTGTACGGACTCTGACGGAGTGGTCTGGCATTTTCTTCGGTTATGATTCGATGTTTCGTGATTGGGGTCTGCCGAATTTTCGATGACGACGAAAAGCAATCTTCGTATTGCAGGAGCAGGGCCTTGAGCTGTTCTTGCTTATCGTTCAGAAGTCTGGGATTGACGTCGAAAGCTATGGGAGGGGCTTGGTTCCTCTGAGCAGGTTCCGCAGAATCGGCGAGGGCGAAAGCACTGGTGGCTTCGACAATTTCTTCGATGTATGCGACCGTTGTTCCTTTGTTCACATGTTTGTACTCATTGCTGAAATTCGTGAACGTTTGCAGAAATACGCCGCAGAAGACATCCCACGTTCGGAGCGTGGACTCCCGATTCTCTAGCCAGGTCCTTGCGGTGTCTTCCAGGTAGAAGTACACACGACGGAGCTTTTCTTCGTTGTCCCAGTGGTTGAGGGCGGCCACACGGTCGTATGTTTCTAGCCAGGTTTCCGGGTCTTCAAACGATGAGCCATGGAACGTTGGTGGTTCCCTGGGTTGATGAATGACGATCGCGGGCTGGGACGCTCCGGTTGTCATTGTCGCTGCAGTTGAGGTCATGGTCTTGGTCTTCCGCGCCTTGTCTTGTAGAAGGCCGTACTCCGGTGGGAGACCTTGCTGTCGGCGGCTCGTTCGCTGCTCTTTGTTGGCGTCGGTGTCTTCTCCGCGACGGGGGCTGGGTTCACGGCTTGACGGGGGCGTCCGGTACATGAACGAAGCAGCACCTCCACCAGATGTCACGGGGTCGTGAGTGACGTGGCCAAAGGAAACTTGGTGTTGGGATTTAACTGTTTATTTGGGCGAACCTGTGCCCGGTAAAGGGAAAGTCTAATTACAGCAGCAGTCTTGCACAGATTGCAGTCTCGGACTGATAGCGGCGAACGCAGCGTCGGCCTTCGATCAACAACTGACAAGCGGCGAAGCGCGTCGGCATTTATACCCTTGCCGTCGAATGTTCTAGCGTTATCGCTGGCGGTGGCGTAGGTTCCAGAACAATCTGTACCGTTCGCACAGTGGGCGTGATCTTATCGAAATGATCTACTACAGTCCGGAACCTTAATTCTCGAAACCTGCAGGCGTGGTTTGCGCCGAGAATCGTGTGGTGTTTCGGAACGATAAGAAAAACTTGTGAAATGGACGTGGCAATATTTTTAGATGCGGAAGCATCTTATACTCGCGCCTTGTAGTGCGCCGTCCGCGCCGTCCGCACCGCTTCTCGAACATTCGACAGCTGACGCGCGCGCATGCGCCGTCGCGCCGTCGCCCACTCTTCCACCATCTGTGCATCCCTTCCTCCTCTACACACCGCGCGCGCTTCACTCCTCCACCATCTGTGCACCCTTCCTCCTCTACACACCGCGTTCGACATCTACAATTCTCCTGATTCTCCAGTGGACGCGCATGTGGCGTCGCGCTTCGAGAACATTCAACAGCTGACAGTGCATGCGCCGTCGTGCTGTATATATACTCAAGGTCGGCGCTCGCTCGCTCAGTTGCCGCTCGTCGGTTGGTTTGTACGGCGCGTCGACGTCCAAGGTCGCGGTGAAATGAATTCCAACGAATCCACAAACACAATGATC